GCTCCCACAGGGGGAGCTCTGCTCAGCCACAAGCCAGGCTGATGGCTGCCAGCACAGCGGTGGTGGTGGCAGCCTCTCCCGCCTCCTTTGCAGCGCTAAGGATGTCCAACTGCAGCTTAGGCCTGCTCCCCGCTGGCAAGTGGACATCCCTAGAGGGCTGCCAGGCTGCCAGAGGGATGTCTGAGTGCCAGCTTAGGCCTGATCTCCCGGGGAGCAGGCCTAAAGCAGGTGGACATCCCCTGAGGGGTCCCAGACTGCGAGAGGGCACAGGCCGGGCTGAGGGACTCCACTGAGTGCACACATTTTTGTGCACTGGGCCTCTAGTAAAATTATATTTAAAAAAAAAGAAAAACAAGAAAGTTAAAGATTTGTAAGTTTTGTTATTCTATAATGGATTTTAGTACCTCTGAAGGGTAAGTGTACATGAACACAGAAGCACTTACACTTACATACACATATATGTACAATTTTGAGGTTAACTGTTGGTGAGGAATTTTAATATTTCTTAATATTGCTTACTATGACCGATAGCCCTAAGAATATTTTTTTCTCATAACAGATTAATAAGAGGCAAATATCAGCCATATATCCATCTGTATCTGGCATTTAGGGGTGGCATTTGTGAAAGCATGAAATGAGACATGCTTTGAAATAGGTATGAATAAGAAGTGAAAAGATAAAAAAAGAAAAACACTGTGCAACTTTCTTTACTTGTGGTAATGGTTTTAACATTGATGATACTAAAATTTACTTATTTGTGGTGAGACTTAAAAAGAAATAATGATAGTAATCTATATTTTGCAGAGCCCTTTATGGTTGTCGAAGCATATTTATGTATATTATACTCTACATGTACATATTAATTTTCCTGGCAGCACCCATAAGGCAATCTGTATGGCTGTAATCTAAAAGACATATAAATTAAGCAGTAGATAAATTGATTGCTATGGAAGAATAATTAAAAGGATCATGGTACAACTGCAGCTGTAATCAGAGTTGTTATAATTGGTATTTTATACAAGAAGTTTATACTCAAGAGGCAAAAAAAAAAAATGCTTTGGACTATCTGGTTATTTTTGAATTTGGGTCACCAGTAGTGAAATGAGAAGGCTTCTAGAACCAACTGCGAAATTTCATTTCCCCAAACCCATCTGACTATAAATTCTGTAAGGCCAGAAGTATGTCTTGCCCATCACTGTATCCAGGAGCTTTACCGAATTTCCCCCAGTGGGGTTACTTACTCCTCTAGGAGATCTCATTGCATATGCTTATTATAGTAGGAATCATTTGCATATCCTTGGGGACCACTAAATTGTGACCCTCCATAAGACAGGTTGTCTGAGTCCCCCAAGAGAACCACTGTGACTGGTGTAGAGAGCAGAAATTCAGGCTATATCCAATGAAATGAAGTAGCTGCATTATTTCTCCATAAAAAAATATGTTACATGGGCCTTTATGTTCAATCTCAAGGTCCTTCCTTTTTGGAAAAGCATAAACTGTATTCTTACTGAGTAATGATTTCTTCCTACCAATTGGCCTCATTTCCATGAAGAGAAGAAGTAAAGGCAAGAGGCAGGAAGTGGTTTCTGCAGCCCCCACTGTGTTCATTGGCCAGCGTTTCAAGGACTGTTCTAAATCCCAGGTGGTCTATTTCAAGGTTCAGCTCACTGAGCAGACAATGATAATAAAAAATATAAATTTGATAACACTTTTGATGGTTAAAATAGCTACCATTTATTGAGTGCTTATTATGTGCCAAGCCCTGTTAAGCACTTGACCTTGTTTTCTACTGACAGCAATGTTATGAGGAGCTACTTTTATCATTTCTACTTTACAGCCTCGGGAGCCAAGGCTCAGGGAGGGATGGTCTTAATCATCTTGTGTCCTGGCACATTTCTGGCAATCCACAAATGGGTGCTGAGGAAACAAACAAATGGCTCAGTGTAATATGCATGATAAGAAAGCACAGACTGTGGAATAAAGGCTCAATACAATGAAAGGGTCAGTTAAAGAAGCCTGCTTTTCTGGGCTCACTGTGCTAGCATTGGGAGTACAGGAATAAACTGGGACTGCAGAAATCAGACTGGTGAGGGAGTTCTATCTATTTCTACTTGTTCTATTAATATATATATATCCTATTATAGTGAAAAATCATTTACGGTGGTTACTATGAGAGTTTATAGATGTGTATGTCCATGCATGTGTATTTTTATCACTAGTCAGACTATGTAGAGTGTTATCTATAGCTAGTAAAGGATACAAAGTGAAATATGGGGATGGGGAGGGATTGAGATCAGAGAAAGCTTCTTAGGGAAATGACAATTAAGTTGTGCCATGAAAGATGGCCATTTAGGTGAAATGGGAAAGTGTGTCCGTGTGTGTGTGTGTTGGGGATGAGGTACAGTCAGTCTCCCTGGAACTGCATTTGAGCAGTCCTCCAAAATGACATATGGGAAAGAGTTTCTCTCTAATAGGCTGGAGGACTTGAGCCAAACCTGACTGCAGGTGGTTATGTAGGGGATGTCCCATTAACAAGGCCTCGAAAATAGTATTTCACAAGCTTGTTACTCAAAGTGCAATCCAAGACCACCTGGATGATTGTCAGAAATGCAGAACCTTAGGGCCCACCCCCAACCTACTCAATTAGAGCCTGCAGCTAATAAGGTCCCTGAGCACCTTTGAAGTTTGGGAAGCACTGGTTGTAAGCAGGCAAGATAAATCCTTTCTCATGGGCTTCCTGTATCTCACGGTAACCCCATCCCCAAGCTACAGCCAAGCAAGTCTTCCTTGAATGTAGAGAAGCCTTTCCTAACTCCATACCCTCATTTATTTCCTGGGCTGTCCCTTCTGCTAGGAATCTCCTAGCTTCCCATTAAAAACACTCTTGAAATGCTGCTTCTAGAAGTTGCTCAGAGCCCAGGGCCAATGAATCTCTTCTGACTCTGGCTCAAGCTTTTGCCCATGCCTATCTCCTGGCTGTGAGCCCTTCCAGCCCGATATCACACATATTCTGTACCCTCCTCCTGACGAGCTCCATGCTGACAGAGGCTTTTCTCTATGTATCTGTGCAATTTCAACTTAGGCAATTTCTCTCCTTGAGTACTTAGTACAGGAATGAATGCACAGAAACCTCTGTGTTTACACATTTACATTGAATTAAAATACATTTCCTAAAACCTCACAAAGAGAGACCTATTTAGAATGACCAAGAAAAAGCCCCCCCCCCCCACCTCTTGGGTTTGATTTTTTTTTTTTTTTGGTATATGATTTTATTGATTTTAAAGAGAGAGGAAGGGAGAGGCAAGAGAGAGAGATAGAAACACCCATGAGAGAGAAACACCCATGAGAGAGAAACATGGATCAGCTTCCTCCTGCACACCCCCTACAGGAGGTTGAGCCCACAACCCAGGTATGTGTTCTGGCTAGGAATGGAACCAGTGACCTCTTGGTGCCTAAGTCAACACTCAAATACTGAGCCACACAGGCTGGGTGGGGTTGGACTTGTTAGCTGTCTTGTGTTCTAGTATTTTCAAGGCTCAGAAACAGAGTTCTGTAAAATTTTCTCATATTTTTCTTTGAGAAATGGGGAAAAATAAAAAAGAAGCTTTCCCCCCTAAATCCTTGCTAATCATACAGACAACCTATTTTTTAAAAATAATTTGTGTTTTAACATACCACTGAATTAGTGGTGGTGGCAGGGAGACAGTTGGGGGCTTGAGATTTTTTTTTTTTAGTTGCTCAAGTCTGCTTTTCTGGGGCATTCAGACTCACACACTTATGTCACCAGTCGCAAGTCTCTAATTATGCTCCCCACTTCCCGAAATGAAAGATAAATGCGTAGATACAAACTTCCATTTGTCAGAATTGATTTCCTGTTTTAATCGAGGGTGTAATCTATCATTCTTTTTCGAAACATGTGTGCTCTGATTATATCTACCACTCTTTGTTGGATTAGGGTAAGTCTAAGAAAGAAGAGAAGCAGTGACAGAAACATACTCCCCATTGGTATCTTTTCAGTTCCCTTAAATAGATGCAGGTTTTTTTTTCATGTGTAATTACAAGCTAAAAATATCAATAATGTGAAGTACAATTTATGCTGTGACTGCCCTTTCAAAGTGAGGCCTTCCTTGTCTAATTCAGGTGGAGAATTTCTGCTTTTTTAAAAAATTTATTCAGCCTCACGTCTTTTGGTGAGGTTTTCACTTTCTTTGCTACTTGGAAAGCGGTCAGGAAATTCATTTTTAAACTATGAGTCTGAGGTCCCCCAACTGCTTGTGGCAAATACCTCCTGGTTGTTGACAATCAACAGAGCAGTGAAAATGAACCCACAAGACTGCACATCTGGAGGCCCTAGAACGGATAGCCACACTGGTGAGCCATACATACCTCATCTCTTTCAGAGCCTAAGACTGCCTGGAAAGCCACTGCCCCACAAACATAGTCCAGAAGGCCTCTGTGTCTACTGTCTACAAATCACATCTAAGCTTTCATCTTGTTCCTAAAAATATGTTAACAAATGTGACCAGCTAATGACCCAACTAACAAAGTGGTGAAATAAAAATAAGCAAAACCTAAAACCATAGACCTTTCATGAAAATCCAAGCTATCATAGAGGAAAGAGGGACCTGCAATGAAAGAATTGTGGAAGTGGGGACATATTTTTCCAGGCCCATGAGTAATTGATCTTGACCTTCAGGCTCTATTTTCTAATCCTCCTCAAAAGACTGCACAGTACTGCATTCATTATAAAATATCTTGGAAAAAAGAAGGCCTGGGTGGGAGAAGAGGTGAGGGGAAGGTATGGATGTGTTGATGGTAGCGTTAAGCTGCGTCTATGTATGTGAGAGGCTTTCATTAGTAAGGACTGAACTATTCTCTGTGTCTTTGCCCCATAGCTTCCTATCTGTTGAGTGGCAGGATGGAGAGAGAACCCCTGGCTCAGAGAGAATCCTGGGCTGTTACAGCTGGAGACCTTAAGATAGGGTCTGGTCTAATGACCAAACCAAAGAGCTCAGAGAAATTGAGCAATTTGTACACATGTTGTTCAGGTTTAGGCCAGGGAGGGCTAGCCCAGGGTCCTGCCCCTCTCCAATACAAATCCTCTGTAGCTGAGTGAACTTTTTCACAATTACAGCCACACAAAGATGCCAGGAACAAGCCCCAGGGAAGCTGTGAAGCAGTGGACAGGCTGCCAAGACCACATGGACCACCTGATACAAATTTCTGCATTGCATGAGGAGGATCAGTAAATTCTTCTGAAGGCCCATCAAATCCTGAGATCCCATAGCTCCAAGAGAAGACTGTGTGGCTCAGGTGCCAGGCAGTGAGAACAGACTCTGAGACCGGCAGGCTGGAAGCAGAAAGGGAGATTGCCTACTTGTGGAAGTCCTCAATGCAGTGGATGAGGCCGCCAGCATCCACGGTGAATGGGATCCCATCCAGGCTACGGTGGCACATCACACAGGTGAAGCAGTGAGGATGGTAGGCCTTCCCGGTGGCTCGGAGAATCCGCTCCATGATGGGCTTGGAGCACACACTGCACTGCTCCAGGGTATTCTGGAGAGAGAAAGAACAATGCTGCTGATGAGGTGGCCCTTCCACAGTGACTTACAGCACGATGGGCACTGTCACAGGACACACTGGCTTGGATGCTCACCACAGTCTATACTTTTATAATCTCTATTCTAGAGAGAAGGAAACACAATCAGATGGATCACATGGTTTTTCTCATGTTATAGAGTGCAGACTTCTTCTGCAAATGTCAAATTTAAAACATTTCTTCTGACTCCTCCCCTTGTCCCTTCCCACTACAGCCAGATTGATAGCAGACTTTTAGGTAAAGGCCCGTAGAGGACATATTTCTGGCTTTCTTTCAACAGTGCGATTTTGCCATTGTAGCGCAAAGGCAGCTATAGATGTACATAAGCAAATGGGCATCATTGTGTTTTAATAAAACTTTATATACAAAAGCAGGTGGTGCTCTGGATTTGGCCCATGCTGTAATTTGTTGACCCCTGAACTATCCAACTCAGGTTTTCCACTGGAAGAATGCTTCACTATTACTTCTAACATTTGCTTCATCATCAAAGACCTAGTGGGGTCATCAAGGACCCTAACATTTTCCAGTGTGGTCTGTCTGGTAACAGACTCACAGAGCATGCAGGCTGCTGACCCCAGTCATAGCTCAGCACAACCAATGAGGCCAGTGATCATGAATACTTGATTCAAACATCAACTCCAGTTTAGTACTGTAAGCTCTCAATGGAAATGTTGAACCTAGAGGGGTTCAAGTTTTGAGAGATCAATTAAGAAAGTCAATTTATCTGGCTGAAAACATATACTGAGTTTTAAAAACAAATACCCTCCCCCCAAAAAGAGGATACCCTTTATTGAGTCAGGACTCTGAAAAACTGATAAAATTAGCTGTTAACTTTTCATCCTCCCCTAGAACTTCATGTGCTCTTTCCTAACAACCATGTTTCACATGTAATATGCTATATTCCAACTGAGATGTCTGGACTGAGTCACTGAGTTTACAATCTAGAATAAACCTGGGATGGGTAGCTGATGAGAAAGATGCAGAACTAGAAGGGATATGGAAATTAAGGAGTAACTGCCCTCATACCAGGAGAACCTTTAAATGGCCATTAGGCAAGAAGTACCTGTGGGTAGATAACAAATGTATTAACGTCTCAACTATGGTCTCCGATGGGCTTCTTTATTTGCATGTTGCTTCTTTTGTAATACTTCCCTATCCCCAAAGTGACTGCCAGTTTCCTTTCCAAACCACAGATGTAACCAAATAATTTTCCTGTTAGCAAAAACTTATATGGCTCCACAATGTAAAAAGAGCTAGTTCCATATCTGACATTCAACCTCCCTTTCTAGGCTGAGTTCCTTAATGTCCTGGACTACTTACACACACTCACACCTATGAGAAACTTCCATACTCCTGCACATTGGCTAATTATTTGCAATTTGCCATATTGACCTTTCGAAGTATGGGTCAGAGGGCAACTTTACAGTGAAGCTTTCCTTGATGTCTTCATTTGAAATAAACTGTTTCTTTCTCTCCCCTTCCTGAGCTTTTGTGCCCACAGGGTTCACTTGTATTAAAATTATTTGCACAGATGTCTATTTCCTCAACTAGACTGCAATTGCCTTAAGGGCTGGGACTATATCTTAAGAATGTATTTCTCTGTCCCATATTACACCAAGTATACTACCTGAAATAAAATCAGCAGGGTGAATGTGTGCAAAAGAATGAAGGGAGGCATATTGTTTACATCTCACCTTGCAGCACACACCATTGGCCTGACTCCCCTGACTCAGGAATCTCTCCTAAGATGAATTAGTAAATTCATCACTGTCCTCTCATCAAAGCTGTGGTTGCTGGGGTTTCTGAAATTGCTCAGTATGCCTCTGGTCATAGTCTAAACTCATGGAAAATATCAAACTACCCCCTAACCCCTCCAATTTTAAAGTGGTAAAATTAAAATAGCAGAAAAACATAAGATGAAAGTCTGGAGACAATGATGGTCTGGACAATGAAGGCCTTGCTACTTTTCTATCCTGGTGATCTGAGCTAATGTGGCTGGAAACCGTCTTCCTGAGACTTGTGTTTTGTTCCTCTTGTGGGTTTTAACTTTTTAAGTTTTTTTTAAGGGCAGCCTGTAATGGAGTTGAACAAACCAGAAAATGCTTGACCAGAAAATGTTATTGTTTGCATTGAGGCTTGGCTTTAAGTTTCAGCCAATTTACTTAAAACCATCATGACCTATAGAAGCACTGTTTAAAGGACAGGTGATCTGAACATTTCTTCTATAAAGGCAAAACTGTGTAAAATATGCCTAAAGTGAGACTATTGTGAAATGCCCACATATGAGAAATTAAAGGTTCCAAGAATGTAGCTGTTAGCCTAGACTAGCAAATGGTATTGGAGGACAAATTAACCTTGTCTATTCAGTTCCCTTTCCTGTACTCATCTCCTTTCAGTCTTCAATTGGTCCACTAGGACCCTTAGACATATATTCTATTAGAGAAAGACTCTTACAATGTCAGAGAGGAGGGCACTGAGCATTCCTGTAGTCCAAGCCTCTGATTTCAGAGGTGAGAACACAGACCTGGAGCCCTGATGTAGTTGGACCTGGGCCATGGAGTTCAATAGGGGCAGACGTCGGACTGGCATTGTTCAGAGAGGGATTGGATGAATTCATTATGTAGCAATAGAGAGGGAAAGTTGCTAGATAAAAACTATGAGTTATCCTTCTGGCTTTGTCAACATGCAGCGTACAACCTTGGGTAAACAATTTCTTCTCTCTAGACCCCAGTTTTCTTGTCTGTAAAACAATGATTAATTTTAACTCAGCAATTTTATTACTCTGTGCTACATCATTGTTAACAACAATAGGAAAAGGCCAATGTTTCCAACACTAGCTGTATACTAGAAACAATTGAATAACCCCTCGTCTGATATGTGAAAGGAGGGTTCATGTATTAGAATTCTACACAATGTAACATCTACTCTGTCTGGAATTTCACTTGGAATTCCAGAAATTGCTGTTGGTAGAATTTCAAGCACCATAGATGATCTTTGTGTCTTCACAAAGTAGATTAAAATGAAAAGGTTAATAAATAATTTTTAAGAAAGTAAAACAAAAGAAGGTCTTCAAGCAAAAGAGTGGAAGAAGGATGTCACTAAGTACATCTACTCAAATCACATTTGTATGTGGAGTAAGCATGCCGTCATTGATCAATGGGGAGGTAGAAGAGAAGAGCCTACTCCAGCATAAGAACCTTCAAATGCAGGAATGTGTTTCATGAGCTGGCTCTGGATCAGCCTCTGCTGCTCTCCCCACAGCCTCCACCTTCCTGCTGTCATGAGCTTTCTGCCACATCTTTCATAAGCTATGTTCTACAAGCTCAGACTGATTCATATCCTTTCTTTTTTGCCTCAGGAATACCTAGTCATTCTTCAAAGTGAAGCTCAAATGTTACCTCTTCTGCACAGCCTTTCCTAATTTTCCCTCTGCTATCCTCCAAGAAAATAAGTCACTTCTTCCACTCCCATAAGATTGTATAATGTTTCTCTTATGACACTGAACGTAATGTACTCTATTTAATGGTATGACCAAACTGAGTCCACACCTCCCGTCCCCACCCCGCCACAAGGAGCCACAGGCATAGGTTGAGTTTCCTAGGAAGCATTCTCAAACAGAGATTTGCACATGGGAAGTTACTGAAGAGTGTCTTTGAGATCAACACCTGTGGGAGAGTGCAGGAAGTTCCTGAGTAGAGGAGTTGAACTAAGATTCAGTTACAACAAAGGATTCTGAGGGTTCCATGGAATAGTCTGGAGCTGGAATGGCCCTGCAGAATTGTTCTTCCTTGAAACTAGGGGATAGAGAACTTACATCACTGCACCTTGAGTGAAGATGAAGTTCCCTTGAGGGTAATTAGCAGAGAAAGACTCAGCTATGAACCATCAACTGCCAACAATCCCAGCATCTGGAGGAATGAGAGCCTCAGTCCTGAAGAGGGATCTGGGCAGTGTATTACAACATCCCCAACAGCAAACATGCCTTCATAGTCCATAGCACACAGTAGACAACTGGTAACCAGCTATGACATAAATACCTTATAGTTTACTCTGAATGAAGAGTCTAAATTTTATTCTTTTTAAAATAAAATCTTGACATTATTTGAAGATTTTAAGGATTTTTATAAATTGTTTTGGGCAGCTACTGCAATGAAAGTATAGTTAAAAAGAAATGATGTTATAGAATAGCAGAAAAAAGCCAAATAAGAAATTAGCTGTTAAAATGCACGGCTTTGCACTCTTTTGAGATGATGGCAATATGACTGTGATTAAAAACAAAAAAGTGAAGTAAAAATAAAAATAAAATCACACAAAAAATCTTATACACACAACTTCCCAAAGCAACCGTTTTTAGAGATACAGTCTGGTTGTATCTTTTCTATCCTTGGATATTGTATAAATAACTTTTCCAATTCACAGTCAGAAGCTGGAAGAATCATCTGAATATAAATGAAGCATATAGGTAGCATAAGCATTAGATACTAGTAGATTATAAAGAAAATAACATTTCTATAGTTTATATATTGCATAGGTATACATGTGTTCAATGTTAAGTATTTTATTTAAAGCGATATACGTATTTGAAGATTCAGCAAACTCTAAAGTGTTGCCATTTATAAATGTTAAATTTTTCATTTCATAAAAGTAAAATGTAACCTTATATTCAATCTTTATTTTTTTAAGGTAAGAAAGCAATATTGAAACAGGAAAGACTCTTGGAAAGATAAGGGTGACATCTCACATTCTAGATACAGTTTTGTTTTGTTTTTTGGATAAGAATTTTTTTTTTTTAAAAGCAGAGTTAAAGAATACCAAACCTTTAAAAGTCTTTAGCGATTATTCTAGGTCAGGAATTTTCAACTTCTCTCACTTGCCTGTCTTTCCTATAATCCTTTGTTCAGGGAAATAATTTATAAAGGAGACACATACAAAAGAGCCCCAAATCACTTCTGGATGA